AATTTAAAACGAATTTGAAAAGTTTAAACTGAATTTGAACAATTAAAATCGGATATAAATAATACAAATTGAATATAAATAACACAACTTCAATTTAAATAAAATAGATTGAATTTAAACAATTAAAACTGAATTTAAATGATTAAAACTGAATTTAAGTGATTAAAACTGAATTTAAACTCAAATAAATCAAATTACCTTCCAATTACTCCTTCCATTACAGAGTCCGTCACATCTGCAGTTGTGAAGTCCGGAATTGTAATTGGATAAAGAACAGAGCCAAAACAGTTTCTGCCTAAAAGAGTAAATTAAAATCTTTTTTTGAATTTAAAAATCCTTCTTTATAATTTTAAAGCCTTTTCTCGTTTTTTAATTGAAAAATTATGTTCATTTCAACTTTTTATTTTAAACACGCGCTTATTTCACGTTTTTTATTCAAATATTTATATTTATTTCAAGTTTTCAATTAAAAAATATATTTACTTCAAGTTATCAATTCAAGAATATATTTGTTTCAAGTTTTTAATTCAAAAGTGTATTTAATTCAAGTTTTACCCCTGCCGCTGGGGTCCATTCAAAATGCGATTTTTGCAGATTTATTTTATCCCATTTTTAATTCTTTTTAATTAAAATCCTTTTTTATTTTCTTTGAAATTTTTATTCAGGAGACTGTGCAAGATCAGGTATTCTTTTTTCCATTTAAAATGTTTTACTTGCTGTTTCATTTCATTTTCTTTTTTGAATACGAATTTTTAATTTTCGTCTTTTTCCTTTTTCCCTTAAAGCCATTTTCATAATTAAATCCAAAACCCGCTTTTTGTGTGCTGCGAATTAAATTAAATTATATTTTAAGGTTTTTTCCATTTCCCCTTTTAATGCCAATTTGAATGCGCTTCCATTTTCTCTTCTACTCCGGATTAACTGCGTCGAATTAATTGTTTTATTTCATTTTTATTCATTATTTACTATTTATTTATTTTATTTTTTTATTTATTTCTCCACTCATGTGCAGGTTTCAGTTCAGAAACCCTTTGTCTGCTTACCGGTCAGCATCGGAAGACAGGGCAGTGGCCTGTGTACACGCAGCTTGAGCGTTAGGGTTTAGGGTTTAGGTTTAGGGTTTAAGGTTTAGGGTTTAGGGTTTATAATTAGGGTTTCTCACTGGTTTATCCACACAGGAGGGGGAATAAGAGGAGGCACAATGTCGATGACAGTGCCTGCTACAGACTGCACCAGACCCTTGACCATCATGAGCGACATCATGGCTGCCATTTGCAATCCAGGGGCTGAAAAGGAGAAAAAAATCAATTTAATTATTTAAAAATAATAAAAATAATAAAAATGATAAAAATAAAATAAAAGAATTCAAATAACTCAAAATGCTCCACATATAAGAGAAAACTTTCCCACCTTGGGTTCCCGCAGCCGACTGGACCTTCGCGACCAGCTCGGTCAGCCTGAAAGAGAAGCCGCGAGCAATTCAAAAGAGGAAATTAAAAAATAAACAAATAATTCAATTAAATAAAACAAATGCAAATTAATTTAAGAGAAATAAACCATTAATTCGAGCCCTGAGTTCATCAAAGCTGCCACAACCCCACAGTGCCGATCAGGTTTGCACGTGTCCTGCGTTTTGGGGAACTTGTTTACTTTTTTACATCTTTCAACTCCTCTTTGAGTTTTATTTGAGTTTTTATTTTAGTTTTTGTAGTTATTCACCTAATTGCCCTTATTTATGCCCAAATTTCATCTCTGTACCCATTTTTTTTGCATTTATTTAGCCAATTTCGGCTTTCAATTCTCCTAAACTGCATCTCACCACTTCGTCAAGTCGAAACCAAATATGCTTCGAAAGGGCCCCCCAGGAAAGGGCGTTTTGGGGGCCTCTGGAGGGGCCCCCGCAGCTTCCCCGGGGTTGCACTGAAAGGTTTGGAAGTTAGGGTTTAGGGTTTGCAGGTTAGGGTTTAGAATTGAGGGTTTTGGGGTTTGAACTGGGGTTTACATGCGGGTTTTCGTTGTCGACTTTAGCGAGGGTTTGGAGGAATCGCAGGGAAGTCTTTTTGTCCATTACTGAAACAGCACTTGTTCAACTTGGCTTTCTTTCGCGCTGCAGCGCAGCCAGCGAAACCCACCAGAGTCCATCAGCCACTTATAGCCTTTCACGTCGAACTCGCCAAGTGCAGAGTCGTAGAGTTGAAAGAAAATGGCTTTCTGGCGTTCGGAGCCGTCCGTCAGCCGCTCCGCCATCTCTTCACGGCTTGGCAGCAACTTGAATTTGTGGCTTTCCGCGTCATAAATCAAATCCGACGGCAACTCTGGCATCTTTTTTGGAATCATTTCTGCGTTTGCGGGTATTTTAAGCCCGAGATCGCCGAATATGAAAAGCAATTCAAGGAAATGCCAAAGGTCCCGCATGTTGAACGAGACGGCCAGCACGCGCGGAAACGCAGGAAAACACTGCCCCCGACGCAATTTAGAGAACTCAGACTGAATTTATTCAACTGAATAACTCAATGGAAACTTAATTTAAGCGTTCACTTCAAAAATTGAAGCGGAATCTTCCCGAAACGGACGGAGCTGCAGTGACACCTGAAGTTTGTGCGCTGCTCACCAGCGGCCGCTGCCTTGCAAATCCGATCTGCAAACCCTAAGCCCTAAACCCTAACTGATAAATCCTAAACCCTAATTAATAAACCTAATAAACCCTAAACCCTGAAGTTATGAACTCTTTCTTTAAGTTTGTTCGGTTTCTAGTTGTCTCTACACGATTGCTGCTGCTGCTGCGTCGGGGCCACTCGGCCAGCACCTTCGGCGGCTTCTTCTCAGTAGAGCTTTCTAAGAAGGAAACTTCGCAACCGACATAAAAATAAAGTTAAAAACAAATTTTGCAGTTTAACTGCACCCCGTGTTCCACGAGAAGGCCCCGATCTCTTGAGTTTTCAACTTTGTTTCGGATCTTTTCAAGACTCATCCTGCGGAATCGGAATACAAGATCTCCCGCAGCTGCCGCCGCTGCGCAGCCGTCCAGTAAGTCCAGCAAACAACCCACCGCGTTTGTTTCCCTTGAAACAAATCAAAGACCCTCAGCTCTCGCGGATGCATCTCAACTTCCTCTGCACCGCTGCAGCTCCCGCTGCTGCTGCTGCTGCTGCTGCAGCTCCCGCCGCCGCCGCCGCTGCTGCTGCTGCTGCTGCTGCAGCTCTGGCCCCTCTGGAGGCGGTGTCTGCGCAGCCAGCGCTGGGCCTCGGCCTCCATTTGCTGCTCCGCGCGCCGGCCGGCGAGGCGCATTCCGTGCTGGATCTGGCGCTTGAGTTCGTCGCGAGTGGAAGTTCTGGCGACGAGGGAAGTGAACCAGAGGAAGCGGGCGGCGTGGGCCTTGCTTTCGGTGTACATACACCTGAGAAAGGCCGCCTCGCCGCCCGCGCACGCCAATTCGTGCAGCTTTCCAGCTTTTTCTCTCCACGGACTTTTCGCCACCAACTCCGGACTTGAATAAAACGGAGGGTTGCAGACGCAAGCAGCAAACAGCCCGTCTTCGTCTCTCAAGACGCCCTCGAAGATCTGCTGCGGCTGCTGCTGCAGCCGCAGCTGTACGTACACCTCCAGCCCGTTCGCATGCAGGTTTGCTGCTGCTGCTGCCAGAGACTCTTCAGATATGTCCGACCCCACAAACCGCCACCCGTAGTCTGCAAAGCCCAACAAAGGGTACACACAATTCGCCCCCACTCCCACGTCCCAAATCCTTACACCTCCCCCTCGAGGGGGCCCCACGTACCCCTCGGGGGCCCCCCCAGGGGCCCCCTGGGGGTCCCCCTGGGGGCCCCCCTTGGGGGCCCCCTGCGGCTGCCGTATGCGGGGCCCTTGCTGCTGCCGGCGTGCTATGGGCTTCTTTTGATGGCTGTCCGCTGCAGCGGGCATACAGCACGAGCAGTAGCTACCGCTGCAGCTGCCGCTAATTGTTGAATCGACCGCGGACAGAGAATTTTCAAAGAAGTCCAGGGGGAGTTTATACTCTGCAGCAGCTTAACAACGACGGGCAAGGATCCGCACCTCACAATGAGGCCTCCAGCAGAGGCGGCAAAAGCATGCACTGTAACCACAAACAATGCAGCT